TGAATAAAAAAAATATTCAAAAATATTCATTGTAGAATAACTATATACGGGTATCAATTAAAAGGAAAAATTCTATGGAATAGAAAGAAAATTAAATTTTTGTGTGCACCAGGACGAATAAGTATCGAAAATGTCTTTTTAAAACTTTATCCTTGGAAATTTCCAATATTCCTCGAATATTCCAATATTCTTCGAATATTCCAATTTCCTCTAATTTCGTCCTTCTAACTTTATTAGTTTCAGATAAAAAAATTAACTTTAATAAAAAAAAATTTATTTTAATTAATTAATTAATTAATTTTACACTTCTTTTTATAAGATATTGATAGTTGCAATATACATACATAAATGAAGATACTGGAATCATTATTATGGAACCATGTATGCGCTCTAAAAGAACAAACTGACCGTATGATGTACGGTTTAAATACTTTAATTATTTTCAATACATGGGCGTAGCCAGCCTTTCACCTAGGGGGGCGGGAGTTTATATAGAGGGAAAAATGATTTTTATTAATTTTTTTTTTGTGTATATAAACGAAATTTAAGGGAAAGTATAAGTTTTCTGGTATCCTTAACCACGATATCAATTTTTTTAAGTCTGGTTTGTAATTTTTTTTTGCTTAATATATTTTTTTTTTGCTTTAAAGTATTTTTGCTCAAATTTTTATGTACGAAGTATACAGATATGCATACCAGAAGAAAGGAGGTTTAATCGCCTTTACAACGAAACCAAATTTTTTTGCTAATGTTTTTTTTTTATAAATGTTTCTTCTCAAATTTTTACATACGAAGTATACAAATACACATGTCAGAAGAAAGAAGGTTTGATTGCGTTCAACCGATATCAATTTTTTTAAAAATCCGTTAATAATTTTTTTGTTTAAAATATTTGTTTATAAAAAAAAGTATTTTTTTCATTTTAAATGTTTTTTCTCAAACTATTACATACAAAGTATAAAAATATGCATATCAGAAGAAACGGGCTTTATAATAAAATAATGGTTTATTATTGTTCCATCAATGCATCCTGCGACTCATGGAAATCCACCAATAATAAAAAATTTCGTGACTATATTATGCGTAAATTCCGGTCAACGAATAGTTTCATCCAGCGATTTCTTTATCACGGTATTTACCACTCGATGTATTACTCTGCCCACCGTGGGCCCCTTGCATTTGAACAATTCCTAAGGGATAAAGAGTAAGTTTAAGCTCCGACTCGATTTTCAGCACAAATTCTTGAGCTTGAGCTCACTTCATCTAAAACTCAGTCTGAGCTGATGGGCACTTTTTATGCGTGAGGCCCATAGGCCACACTTACGTAACCAGTCAGACGTAATAATTACAGGGACTTAAGGAATTATTACGCTGACTGTAGGTGCACTCCAATTTTCAACAAATTTTATTAATTTGGCTACGAGAGCGTCGAAAATTTTCCACCACACTAATATTTATTGTAGTTGATTTGCTCGTTTTTTGTATCTATTAAAGGATTCCTTAAAACTCGTAAAGTCTTAAACTGTGTAAAAAAGTTGACGAGGCTTTTATGGGAACGCCCCCTTTGTCAAAATGTGTGAATAGTGACTGTAATTTTATGAAACCACTTTTGGTTCGTAGTGTTTACAATTGAAAATGCCGAAAATTAGCAGAACACACAAGTTAGTACGGTTAGTGGATGAAATTCACTATTTTTTCACAGATTTTTTTTTTAAATTTGTTTTCAATATTAAATAATACATTTTAGTAGAATATTTTCACTCTCTAAAAAAATAATTTATACAATCTCACATACGTGGGTTTGCATTATCTTGATACGCGGTAGGGATGTTCAAATAAGATCGGTTTTTCCGAAAACCGGTTTTTTTGAATTTGGTTAATGATCTTTTTCAGTATTTTTTTTAATTTAGGTGTTAATCGTTTTTTTTCTCTAAAACCGAAAACCGAAAATTCGGTTTTTACGTTTCCCAGCGATGGATAATTATTTTGTAAATCTTCGAGATGAGAATAAAATTTTACGGCGTACCAAAAACTCGAAATTAACTACTAAATTTTTTGCTGATCTGGTAGCTAAGCATAATCGATTGTGAAGTCAATTGTGAATATTGTAGTTTACTGTTCACTGAGAACAAAACGCCATTCAAAACTATTACAAGTATGGCGCCTACAAATAAGAGAAGTTCTTTGTGGTTACATTTCACAGAAAAAGCTAGCAAAGAAGCAATTTGTAAATTTTGCGGCGTGTTGGTGAAATTGGGATTATGTTTTTATTACAAAAAGTTTTTGTTTGTTAAATGAAGTTTGTTTTTGCTTAAATATGCCAAACGCTTTATTATATTTCTTATTTTTTGGAAATGAAGTTGTTATACAAAATAAAGCAAAAATATTGTTTTAATTGATTTGCGTTGCACAGCAGTAAGTAAATTTTAAAGAAGAAAATATACATATAGGCGAAGTGAAAATTAAGATTAATTCGATATCGACTTTTTTTTTGATTTTTTCAGTGTTTTTATAATTCGGTTTTTTTTCGGTAAACCGAAAAGATCAGGTTTTTAATCCAGTTTTTTTAAACGGTTTAAAACCTGAATGAAAAACCGTGATTAATCGAAAAACCGATTTTTTGAAAACGGTGCCCATCCCTAATACGCGGTTTTGAATTTTGTTGATACGCGATTTTGTACTTTAAACGACGGTATGAATTCGTCGCCTTTACTGCTAATGAGTAGTATTTAGAGAATGACGTATACATATTCTGTACCAGTAGAGAAATAATGTGTAGAGAAAAGTTACAGAAACGAGCTACAGTCAGCGACAATTTTCAGATTGCTATCGCAAATCGCCGACGTTTCTTATGAATGCGGAAAAGTTGAGACAAACACGAATGGCAAAGCAAAACAGAATAACCAGAAAATGACAGATCTTTCAATATGACAAAAGTAGAAAATATTCGAGAGAAGTATATTAAAGTACATTATTTAAAACCATGTGAATCTTATTTAGTGACGGATATCGGGACCTGCAGTACATATATGAAAAGCGTCGTGATAGGCGGGTTCGGGACCTAAAAATTTTGTGTCCGCGCCCATCTCTTTTACCAATGCTACCTTATTTTTACAAATGGGATAAGAAATAGTAAAAATATGTATAAGGAACTTATGTCGGCTATTTTACGTATTTTTGCTACGCCCATAATACATTTTTTATAACCGAGAACACTTTTGCAAAAGGGTATTATAACTTTGTTCACATAACGTTGGTTTGTAACAGCCAAAACGAATCGAAATAGATATAGACAAATGCATACATATACGTCCGTCCGTTTCTGTACACGATAACTCGAGCAAAAATTGAGATATCTCAACGAAATATTAATGGTATGTAGGATGCCTTTTATCCAAGGTAGATTGGTATTGAAAATGGACGAAATCGGACTGTAACCACGGCGACTTCCCATATAACGGTATTTCCGAAAAATTAAAGAACTACGATATTTCAGTAAATACGGAATCTAAATCGTTGGAAGTACGTTAGTACGTAAAGTACAATTTCGGTAACAATAATATTATTATGAAATTTTTCGAAAGTGGGCGGGGTACCACTGTGGGTGGTATATCAGTAGCCGCTCCGCCAATCCTTACCAACCTCGGTACGAGCCTTGCTAAGGATCTAGCTAAGAAATCTGTTGAAAATCTTTGCAATCGGGCAATAACCACGCCCACCTCCCATATAACGGTAATTTACAGAAACAAGAAAATTGCGATAAAATAGTAACTACAGAAGCTAATTCACTTAAATCGACGATTACAATAAGCACTTATCAGAAAAGTAGATTATTAAACCTTTTTTGGATCAAGGGCGTGGCGCCGCCCCCTTTTGACCACAAATGTGTATCTCGGCAACCGATTTATCAATTTCTCCCAACCAGTAAAGCTATGCGTTGAAAATTATTAAAATCGGACGAAAAGTTCTATATATCATAACTGACTGTGCTAATTTACTCCATGCTAATAGTTACTACAAAATCTTAACAATAAATATAGACTTTTAGGAATTGAGCGTGGCACCGCCCACTTTATGACTACAAAGGTATATCTCGGTAAGCAATTTAACGATTTCTACCAAACTTGGTTTAATTATAGCATTAAGTCTAACTCAGCATATCATCGAAAACGTTTGAAATGGGAAAAAACACCCCTGCTTATCATGCAAAGGCAGTTTAGAGAAAGTGGAAACGACGATATTTGATACCTGCGCCGGGTATATAAAGTTCGGTTTCGCCCGAACTTTTACTTCTTTTCTTGTTTTACAATCAAGTCGATTTCTGTACGTTTTAGTACAAGACTCGGCTATGTGAAAAATTTGAATGAAATCAAAGGTCTTCGCGTTGTTCGCATTTTAAAACGGGGACTTTATAATAAATATCATAATTTAACCGTAAAAAATTATTATATTTTTTCGATCATATTATAACCGTTTTTTTTTTCAGATGTCAGCTTTTATAGGCGGCATGCACGGTGCGTCTGACTCGCGAGTCGGTTTGGATGTGTTAGTGAAAATAAATATGTGTTAGTTACAACGACATGACTCTGGCATGACTCTGAGTGACTCAACGGTGTGTAGTCGAAAGGCGAGTCAACACAATACAATATAATACAAAAAAAAAATAAATAAAATATATATGTATATGCATGTATATTCAAAAATTTTTATTGAGCTTAAGGCCGTTTTTAATGAAAAACTATTGTGGAAAAGCAACAATAATTTCGAAAAAATGATAGAAGTGATAGCTATTTCGGAAATCACCACATTTCCTCATCTGTCTTTTTTTCAGTGAGATTAGAACAACCAGTTGCCTACGAACCGTGCTAGTTCGCCTTGTAAATTCTTGTTACTTTTTTCCAGTTTTCCATTTAAAACGGCCTCAAGCTCAATAAAAATTGTTGAATATATGTAATTGTTATAAGGCCATAAATAAAATAACAAAAAACAAATTTATCAAAATAACGGTGTTATTTTTCTACCTCCAATAAAAACTTATAAAAAGCGGTGAAACACCGAGATTGAACTATCCCTGAAAATGTAGATTTACTGGAGATTTAAAACCTTACCCGAGATTGTAGACATAGTTCGGTTATGTTTTCCTCTGACTAGCTCCGATGGACGTAAACTTGGTTCTTCTATGACCTCTAGGCCCGAATCGGAATCTATGTAATCCAAATTGGTATTTGAATTGATTAGGCAAGCGCTTCCAGGTTCTGTTGCAATCAATTGGTCATTTTTATGTAAGGAAGCATTCACCGGTGGCGGCAATGGAGGAGGTGGTGGNTTTACATACATACATATGCACATATGTATATGTGTATGTATTAAATTATAGTATGTATATTCGACTTTGTGGATCATACCAATTGCTACGCTTTGTATAGGCGGAGCAGAAGAAACTCGTTTCAAGTGGCGATCGCTTGTGTTTCCATCATTGCCGCATGATGATTGAAATATGTTGTTGGAGCTGCCGCTGTCCAGATTATTTCGAATAACCGAGTTTTTGTGTGATTGCTTTGTGCGCTCCGCAATATCTTCTATTGGGCATACGCTTTCATACGTATCGCTCTTAATGCCACCATTATTGTTGTTATTACTTGTCTTCAGCTGGTTCTTAACATTCAAGTTTTTAACGGTATAACTTTCCTTGTGCGACATTTCATATCTGTGTAATCCATTGGCCGATTGCGATTTGTTTCGACTCAGTGGGTCACTTATGTGTTTGTTCTTCAGGTTCTGCAATCAAAGGATTATAAAGATAGAAATTTAGTAAAACAACAACCACATGATCAAGTCTAAAAAGAAACAAAAAAAAAAAACAAACAAACAAACAAAAATAGTTGCCCTTGACATAAAAAGTTGGAGTAAGCAACACCAGTTTACATGGCGAACTTAAAAAATTCAGTGCATAGACCATTGGCTTTGTACGCCAGAGTTCAAGGTTCAAATCCCAGTGAGCTCGATGAAGCAGTCTTTTAAGGAGATCTCGGATATACATAGCAGCTGTAACTTCATCCAAAGTAAATTACTGTTGTTTTTCCATAAACTTCTTTCATCAAATGACCTCAAGTTTAAGTACAACTAGCTCTGTTTTTAACATTTTACGGGTGTAAGTACGATATGCTCTCACAAAAGAGAAGAAACTGCCCAAGCCCACGGGTGTGCGTTTCCCCTGTACATTTATTTTAACTGTTCTGCATTAACAGCTCAAAACTAAAAAAAAATAACTATCTTTTCTAAAGTAAGTAGTAAGGATTTCACATTGATTAAATTAGGATTTATTACATATATATACATATATATGTAAAGATCTACCTATTTTCTATAGATAGTTTCTATGCCATATTTACTTGTAAATGAGGTCCGAAAAACATCAAATTAATACAGTGTATACAAACATATAGCACACCGTCTTCAATAGGGGCACAAATCAAAATTACACGTTTATCAGAAAATGCGAAAAAAACTATTTCTCAGCACATGATAATCATATTGGCAAGGGAGACTTTACCTTAGGTTTTAATTATAACAAAAATTTGCTTCAGATTTTGCTGAAATGTAAATAAAAGCTCTGTGTACATTTTTAGCGCATAATTTCAGAAATGTAAAATTTTGCGTTGTGCCCCTTTTGAAGACGGTACGCGATATGTTGATCTAAAGTAGAACACTGAATACGGACGGATGAGTTCAATCAATGTTCGTATGTGCATCAGAAATGTGAAGAACCTGAAGTTTTAAGGAATTTATTTATTTAACTATATTTTCCACATCAAATGTTTCTAATTTCTTTTTTATAAAAATACACATATGTATGTAGTTCATTCGACAACTAGAACCAGCAGAAAAAATTTTTTTTCAATTTCATTTAGAACTCATTTAGAAAAATCCAAGAAATACCANTATTTTCCACATCAAATGTTTCTAATTTCTTTTTTATAAAAATACACATATGTATGTAGTTCATTCGACAACTAGAACCAGCAGAAAAAAATTTTTTTCAATTTCATTTAGAACTCATTTAGAAAAATCCAAGAAATACCAAAAAAATTTTTGCATCAGAATTTGTAACTTTTCAATTCGATATACATACATCTATAGATAACGCATGAACCAAATCTATTTTTATATGGAAAAAATGCGCAACGCCCCCGAGAAAAAAAAAATTCAACGGCAATTTCTAGATACTTGAAACTTGCACTTTATTATACCAAAATTTATTGGGCTACAAAACTGCATACTCTTTCCAAGAAATCAAATTGAAAAAAATTAAAATTTCTTCTAGAATTTTTCCGAGTTCTATATGAAATTAAAAAAAAAATTGTTCTTCTGGTTTTTGCTATTGAATGAACCACATTTTTATAAAAAAAAGAAAAATTTGCAATGGAAAAAATAAATAAATAAAATCGCCAAAACGTCAGGAAATTCCTATTTTCGACGCTGACTGTATATTTATTTGGTATGTAGTACGGAAAGGGAAAATTTCATTAGGGCAAAAGTAGCGGAAGCCTAAATTTTTATATGAAGGTTTTTGCTGTGGTTCTAAATAGCTTTTCAAGAGTGCCCAGCGATTCATGTACCAACTATGATTCGGCCTTTCAGAAATGACTACCATGATTTAACCTTAAAATCAGAACAGATATTATCGAAAAATACCGATGTAACTGTAATCACTTTTTCTCAAAATATCGGATAAGTATGCAAATTTTGCAAACCAGAATCAGTCTACTAAAAATAACCTTCTTCTTGTCTTGTCATTGTCATAATCGCCTTTCGCCAAGCTTAGTCACNTATGGAAAAAATAAATAAATAAAATCGTCAAAACGTCAGGAAATTCCTATTTTTGACGCTGACTGTATATTTATTTGGTATGTAGTACGGAAAGGGAAAATTTCATTAGTGGAAAAGTAGCGGAAGCCTAAGTTTTTATATGAAGGTTTTTGCTGTGGTTCTAAATAGCTTTTCAAAAGTGCCCAGCGAGTCATGTACCAACTATGATTCGGCCTTTCAGAAATGACTACCATGATTTAACCTCTTCACTCACTTTTTCACAAAATATCGGATAAGTATGCAAATTTTGCAAACCAGAATCAGTCTACAAAAAATACCTTTCTTCTTGTCTTGTCATTGTCATAATCGCCTTTCGCCAAGCTTAGTCACTCAGAAGCATATTCGCTACACGCAGCAACCCTACAATATTTTATAATGAAATGGACGACGCACAGTGCCGCCTAAATCGAAAAATTCGTTATCTGCAATGTGAACTTGTCTGGTATTTTTGTAAAGACAATTTATCCACTAAAAAGAATTAAACAGACATTTCCCCAAAAAATTAATTATATAACGCCAGGAAGCCACTAAAATCGACAGATTTTATACTCAGAATTTTAATAAAGCATACCCAGGTGTAAGCTCTTCGCAGAAAAAATGTCAAAAATATATTCTTTGAAATAAAATGTTGATTTGACGTTTCTTGTTTCCATATAGATAGCAGAGAATTACTGGAACTAAAATTTTGGAATAAAATTAAACACAGGGTGTCACTGCGGTGTTAAAAAAACTATTTTTTTAAACAAAATTTAAAAAATTGCTAAATTTTAATGGAATGAATAAAAAATATATGTAAAAACAGGTTATTTTTTTATTATTTTATTAAATAGCACGGGCTTTTAGCTTTCAAAAGAAGAAATAAAAACATATATACATATTTCAGTTACCTTATTCCCTTAATTAAAGTGAATTTGATTTTTTAAACATGTGGCAACCCTTCTGCGTGTCATTTAGAGCTAAAGTATTTTAAAAACTAGTTCAATTGATACCCATATTGTAATATCTAATTCATTTAACTTATTAAATAATTTTAATAAAATTTTTAACAGGTGGCAACCCTTTTCAAAAATAAAAAACTTTATTGCACAACTACTATCATTTGACACCTCACTTTTGAAAATAAAACGAACTATATGTACATACCTATGTAAAAGCCACAAGAACCCAAATTTTCAACTTCAAACTGCATTTACAGTGAAAGTATGAAAGTTATCCAAAAACCAATTGCATTTTTGAATTCAGCGTCTTCAATTTTACTAAGAAGCGAATTTTAATTTAAATCCGTCCATAATTCTATTTTTGCCTACATTTTATATGGACGGGAAGCACTGTGCGACGGCTCGAACCTTGGTTCTACAGGGTGGCAGTTCGCACCTGCAACCATTCGGCTACGGCGGCCGCCATAGTTTACTCTAGTCTAATTTTGGGACGCTTAGTTGACAAAACTTGAATATTTTTTGGTTGTAAAATTTTGCACATTTGCTCAAAAGCATGTAATTTTAACTTCATCTTTTTCAAAAATATCAATACCAATATCATTGATTTCAAATGTCATTTGGAATACANCATACCTATGTAAAAGCCACAAGAACCCAAATTTTCAACTTCAAACTGCATTTACAGTGAAAGTATGAAAGTTATCCAAAAACCAATTGCATTTTTGAATTCAGCGTCTTCAATTTTACTAAGAAGCGAATTTTAATTTAAATCCGTCCATAATTCTATTTTTGCCTACATTTTATATGGACGGGAAGCACTGTGCGACGGCTCGAACCTTGGTTCTACAGGGTGGCAGTTCGCACCTGCAACCATTCGGCTACGGCGGCCGCCGTAGTTTACTCTAGTCTAATTTTGGGACGCTTAGTTGAATATTTTTTGGTTGTAAAATTTTGCACATTTGCTCAAAAGCATGTAATTTTAACTTCATCTTTTTCAAAAATATCAATACCAATATCATTGATTTCAAATGTCATTTGGAATATACTTTAAAATGATTCAATTAAATTTGCCAATGATGAAACTGTGCTTCCTTTCTGAAATAAGATTCAAGAATTTCATCAACTAATGGTGTTTTCGTTTCTAGCAAAAAATGTCGCCTTTTGATTGCCCATTTCCTTTTCCGTCTTCGATTCTGAAATGAAAGCAAACCGGTAAGAATATTCATTGTTGTTTCTTAACTCTAAGATCAAAAAAAGGCAAATTCTCTGCCTTTTGAAGCACTGTCGATGATATGGTTTCCCTGAAAATCAAATCGTTGCTTAAGACGATAATATTAAATATGAAATGCGTGAGCTAGACAAGGAGGATAAGTAGTTAAAAACATGCACTCTTACAGATTTGAGTGTAACATCAAACATATTTTGCACTATGCAAGGCCAAACTGTTTTGAAAGAAACGAAAGCATTGTCCTTTACTGTCTACTTCTGCAAACTAAGTGGTAAGTGTATGGTGGCTTACATGATTGCTGTATTGGAGTACGACATCTGTACTGCGAGTTGAGGAGGTGCTAGCTGAACGTGAATGAGAACCACTATCGCGAGACCGAGATCGGCCAGATGCAAATTTGTGTTGATTTTTTCGAGCTTCCTCACGCACCAAGTATATATCCTCGTAATCATGATCATGCGCATTTTCCGCCGCGTGCTTTTCATTGTTCAAAATATTTGAGTTCGATGGTTTTGAAATTTCATTTTGGTTCTCTTTCTTTATATTATTGTTGCTGCTACAGATATTATTTTTATTGTAGTTGAGCCCAGATATTATATTATCATTTATTTTTGAAATTTTGTTGGTACTCATTTTAACACCAATGCTGTTTTTTAAATTTTGATCACGACGGCTTATTTGATTGTTGCACTTTGGATGAAGATTGAAACTGTGGCTCCGAAGATTGTTTGCCTTGGGCGAATTCATACTTGATTGAACTGAAACTGAAATAGACTCCTCGGATCCACTTCCAGTGCCACTTGAGCTTGAGTGGACATCTGCCTGTACGGTCACAGCATTGTTTATTGAATTCGATTTGTTGTTCTTATTTTGAGATTTGTGTCGATTGATTTTGGGCTTTGATTGCCTAACGCTGCTACAGTCCGAGTCAAACAACTCTCGCACCCGATTATAAATTAGCTCTTGCGGATCGTGAAGAAAGAATGATTCTCCCGAAACGCTTCCAGTGGGTGAGGGGGGCATGAAGAAGCTATTACGCATTGGATTGATATACAAGCCATCGCTCGGCACCATTTGACTATTGTACAATTTTTCAGAAGATGACCGTGAATGTTGCGAGTGTGCGTAAAACGCGTCAACACGCTTGTGAGCCATCATACTAGATGGTGGATGCAAGTAAAATGGCTCAATGTCTGAGCTTAAAGTCGACGATGTCTTCGATTTTATGGTGTTGCTGCGGCTAGTCTGTTTACTGCTATTTGAATTGCAGCTCCCATGAGAGCAGTTGCCGATACAGTTAACACTGTCGCTACCATTGAAACTACTACAGTTTTGCGTCTCCTGCAGTTGCTTGCTAGATAAGGAACAAGTTTTATGCCGTTGCAAGGGGTTCTTGTCACGACAACTGTACTCCACCGAGCTGCCATGTTGCACTAACACGTTTAGACACTTTATTTAACCAATTGGTGAGATGATAAGAGAAAATACATGAAATGTAAAAAAAGGAGAGCAGTCAAAAATGCAAGTAAGTATTTATTCTTTGACGAGATTACCTCTACTTGTTGATTTTCTGCGGCATCATTAATTGGTGATTTGCCATATTTGTCCAGTGAAAGCTTTGCACCATGATTAAGCAGCCAGCGAACGACGGAAAGATGACCTCGTGAAGCAGCAAAGTGTAAGGGGGTAGCACCATCCCCATCTCGTAAATTGGGATCAACTCCTTGGTCTTGAACCTAAATATATATTTATACATTTGAATAAGTGCGGACAAGCAATGTTCATTAAAGCTAAATTATACTATAAAAAAAGTTCCTTTTATTTTCTCTAGTAAATGTATATTGGGACTCGACTAAAAATCTCCCACCGTACAACGCTTATAGATTTGCCGACGCTTCAGAGTCGTAGTTAGATGCTGGGGATCTTTTCTTAATTAAGCTAATTAAGGGGGTGGCCAGTAGTAACTATTTACTGAATGAGATTCCCACAAGACCGTCGAGACATTTTAAACCTATTGTGTTGAGTATCTGTACATCAAACTTTGAAATACGAGTGCATGATGCTTTTCGTTGGCCATGCCAAAAAAATACACATCTGAATCGCTTTTCATAATTAAACTAACTTTGCTTAACCAGTTAACAAACTAGAGGTATTTATTTATGTATCTGGAAATTGACAAATTTCACAATATCTTTAGCAGCTTATAACGTATTTAATACAATTTAATGCCGCGTCTCGATATAGAATATTTCAGACTGTTGCTGCTCTTGCATTGGAACTAAGTAAGGCGATGGATCGGAAATTCGGCATCTTCGACTCCACCAAAGAGTTCATCGACAGCGCGGAGCGGGAATTAGGTTTTTTCGCCCGCCTCGGACGCCACTTAGACTAATCCAGAACTCTCTTCACAGAATTGACACTGATTTAAAAAAAAAGGTCTTAACGTTATCCAGTTTTTTGAGCTTACCATCCACTTAAGGCAATCCAGACATCCCATTTGGGAGGCAGCGTGTATCGGTGCCATGCCGTCGCGTGCGCGTACATAAAGTGAACCGCCTGCTTCAAGAACCAAAAACTTCAGCACTTCCAAATGCCCTTCCTGCGCTGCCAAGTAGACTGGTGTAACATCGTTGTCCATTTGAGTGTTTGCACTAATATATATTTGCAGATTTGAATAATAGTAGAACAAAAATTAAAATATTGTATTAGATTTATTAACTGTTAACTAGTTATACAGATTATATCAGAAAAAAATTAGTTTTATATAAAAGGTATACTAAAAACTAACGATTGACATATCGGTGATCCTCTGCAATAACGGCACAATTTAGAATTCAAAAAATAAAATTCCTTGCTACTGTTAAGTGGCTCATGTCTGTAATCCTTATCTAATCCACGTCTACGCCTCACTAAAATAAGAACTAAAGTTTTTATTTTTTGAATTTTTAAATGCGTCGTTATTGCAGAGGACCATCGATATGTAAGTAGGCACGTACATTAGGGCTGCAAAAAAAGTAAAGTCTGGAATTTTAATGCTCTAAACCCATAGGAGTGTTCTACATCGAAAAAT